GCTTTGAGTGCCCAGAAAAGCGCTATATAAATGTAAGGAATTATTCATTATAAATGCCAAATAGAAGTTATGAATGGCCGGTAACTTAAAAATGTAGTAGCCAAATTGGCTGGTGAGTGAAAAAGTTAATTTCAATCCCTATATATATAGTATATATATATATATATATATATATCATTAGATCAGATAACATTTTAAGCTGTCATATGGTCATGTTACCACGTGTCCCTCAGATGTTACAGTGTGCCCCACACATGGCATGTCATCACATTTCACTACCATTTTTTCTTAGGTAAACAAAGAAAAAGGTATACACTGTAATTATGAACCAAACCCACATATTTGTACTAGTCAAGTGGGAAATTAATGTGGAAAAAATATATACTCTGAAGCCCTTTGACAAACTGAGAAAGTCAAAAAGTGTCAGGTTCTGTCCCGCTCTCTCCTACTCTACATATAGAATATGCCCAATACTAGCACTCAAGCTGTTGAAAGCCCACAGTGTATCTCACTTCCTCCTACACTCGTTAGAGTGAATGTGTTTCTTGATTCTTCCTTGACTTACACTGACTGTCTTCTTCACAACTGAATAAATTCTGTTGATATGAGAGTTCAAGAAGATTACAAGGAGATCATTCCTGGTTTAGTTTTAATATCTGAACAATGTAAGCAATGATGACACAGTGTACTTTCCATCATTCCAGCTGGTGAAAACTATTTTCTGTGTAGACGTGTGTCTTCGGGCTTTGACTGTATAGGTTTATAACTATTTGTGGAGGAGTGTGATGCAGACATGTCCACAAGTCTTTCATCTAAAGTCTGAAGTCAAGTATTGAGTCTTTAAGCTGGAGTCAGAGTCAAGTCTGGAGTCTTTCATCACGAGTCCGAGTCAAGTCTCGAGTCATTTCATTAATTGTTGCAAATACATTCTCATCCTTAAAAATCCTTTTTGAAGGGTTGTATTTTAAAAACAAAAATATGTTCCAGGGATACTACTAGGATTCTAGCTCAACTTGTCTTCCTCTGCCTGTACAGTGTCAGTCCAAGATACAAAAATACATAAATGGCTACACGTCACTTTTCACTTTCAAATATAGGTAAAATTATTGATTTTACATATATTTGATATATGTTATTCAAAAGCATCTGTAACACCATGATGTAGCCACTAGATGCTAATTAATCTAATTCTAGATCTAATTAATCACAAATTAAGTACACATCAATTTTAGCTGAGAATATTCCCCCCAAAAGACCATTTAAACAAAAGCAACAAAGCAAAGTAGAGACAATTTGAGCAGATATAAAATAGTTATATTTAAAGGTGCTGAATGAAATGGGTCACAATACTGCATTTACATCAGGCATTATTACACTTTCAGAGATTTGTAAGCTCTATCAGAAGGGATGATTATAACTTAATAACAGTTTGTATATCACAATATAACATGGCTTCGGGAGATTTTGACCACAGTACATGAGTTGTATTGACTACTGTTATGATACTTATAGAAGTTTGGCAGTAAAAATCTACTTTGTATGCAACACAGAAGATCAGACATACTGATAACATCTTAACATTTGCTGGAACGAAAGTGACCAAGGCCCTTTGTCACATTGACATTAATGTCAAAAATGTATACATAAAATGAAAATGAAGACTATTTGTACATGAGTACTTATGAATATATGAGTAAATTAATGAACTTAAACTTGTTATAATTCATCTGTTTCACAAATCTAATCAATGTTTGGACCAACCTACTGATTCTTTATGCTATCAAACACATTAGTAGAGTAGAGAAAACTATGTAATAACACAGACAGCACTGTGGGAATTATGTAGTTAACAACTCGTTACACAAATGAAAACGGTCTCATATTTGAGCTTGTTTTTTGATTCCAGCTTTGCTCAATCTGGAGATTCATCAACAAATACCAAACACTATTGAAGGAGGAACAGTTAACTGTATGATGCTTTTCATTCATTATCTGCTCCAGCTCAAAACAGTATTCATAAATAAATGTATTTCATAATATTTATAGATCAATTAAACCCCTTATCTTGTAAACAAAATTCATAGTGATATAGAGGAATAAGTAATAAAGTATTTTCAGTTACACTCATTTTAGTCATTTAAGCATAATTCTTTAAATCAAAAGGTTTTTAAGATCACATAAAATCCTCCTTGTGTGTAGTGTAAGTAATATGTAATGTTTATTACATTACACTTTTTATTTAATTTCCTTTTATTTCATAATGTAAATCCAGTTACTGATCACATTAATAATCATCACAGATAATCAGTGGTGTGAAGTTTTCATTCTTCAGATACCCCAAACTATCAAATGGATAGAGTTTCTCATCAAAAGACTGATTAGTGTAAGAATACATAAGAGACATGGACTCCACATCATAAAAAGTGATAAGACCCTTTTCATAATCCACAAACACACCGACCCTCTGAGGTTTCACACTCAGAGAAAGAGAGACATGGTAAGACTCATAAGCCCAATATTTCCCATTTTTCAGACACACAGACCAGTATCCATTCTCAGGACTCAGACATATCGACCCCGTCCTGCTAACAGATGCTCTGGTCACTCCTAAATACCACTCAGTCTGTCCCTTCACCTGCACCTCAAAGTAAAAACACCCTGAGGAGAATCCATCCTTCCCAAGAACACCAAGATATTGATCAAATCTGTCTTTTTGTTCATCCACTCCTTTCTGTTTTCTGTTTCCATTTCTCACTTGTTTCCCATCATCAGACACGATGAGATGTGAATGAGCCATATCAGCATCCAGAATCACATTCACTGCAAAAAATATTGAAAATTCTGCTTTACAGATGAGTACGTAACAAAGATAATGACAATTATTATTTATAGGAATCATGGTAACTTTACAAGAAGATTAACAAAAATGGAAATACTTGATTATGTGTGAATAATGAATTTAATAAAAAAGAATGGGGAAAAAACCCTGTAATGTTCACTGTGTATTATATTATGAACAATAATGTTCACAATTTTCACATTTGCTACTTGGAGACTGAAATGTTCTGATTGTTCTGGTTGTGTTTTTCCTGATTCATTTTCCTGATTCATTTGCTTTGAGGTTGTTTTCTCTATGTGTCATCGTTTTCAATGTTGGATCCCCTAGTGTGAATTTTTAGGGGTCCTGCTAACAGATGCTCTGGTCACTCCTAAATACCACTCAGTCTGTCCCTTCACCTGCACCTCAAAGTAAAAACACCCTGAGGAGAATCCATCCTTCCCAAGAACACCAAGATAATCATTAAATCTGTCTTTTTGTGCTTCATTTCTATCCAATTCTTTTTTGTGTGCTTTTACAAGTTTCACTTGTTTCCCATCACAATACACGATGAGACGTCGATGAGCCGTATCAGCATTCAGAATTACATTCACTGTGGAAAACAATAGTAGATTTGTTGTTTTTTTCCTGTTGTACCGAAATCGTATCGAACCGTGACCCCGAACCGAGGTATGTACCGAACCGTGACATCTGTGTATCGTTACACCCCTACCGTACGCAAATGATGGCTCCCTAAACTTGGTGTGATAGCAGTTTTTAGAGTTGATAGGCATAGGCAGAAGGTGAACCAACTCCAGGGTAAGGCTAAAAGCAGCCAAATGTATTAAACATCATAAACCCGTCTTTTTAGGCAACAACCAGACATGGGTGTCATGTAGGCATATGTTTAATGGGACTGAATTTGTATTTAACGTGATTACAATTTAATAAAAACGTTAGAATTTGATATAGAAAGTGACATTATCACTAACATTGATCTATCGCGAGTTTAAGCACTCTCAAAAAATATATATATCGTTATAATCACTGGAGCTGTATACACTGTGAAATGAATCTCTTACTTACATTGTACGTGCATCTGCGCTTTGTTGTTTATGATGAGAGATTTCGCGGAATTCAGTCAGAGAATGCGCGCGCACTCAAAACTGACGAGTTTCAGTGATGACTCATCTGAACGCCTCTGATTGGCCATTGCATTCCTAAGCTAAAGAGAATTGTGTGTGATTGGTTAAAATGCGCAACACTTTTAAAATGCCTCAAATGAAATACGGTGCAACATGAACAGATCTTAATTTGATGCCACAATCGACATTGTCTGTTCATTTTCACTTTGTTAGCAACAGACGTAATAGATTTAATTTGTTTGTGCAGGGGCATTTTTGTCCAATTTAGTGGCATTTTTGCCCCAAGTCTCCATGGCCAGGGGAAGGCTAAACCTTCCCCAGCCTTACACACGCTCCGCCTATGTTGATAGGCTCTTTCTGAGCCTCCTCGTGAGGGTAGCTGTGCTGAGTACTTGCTTCCGAGGGCTCTGGTCTGCACATAGGTCAAGCATGGCTTGTGCTCCTCTCGCTTTACAGAGTTGTAATGCTGAGCTCTCCGCTTCCTAGACCGCTATGCTGCAGTTATGTCAGGTTGCTAGGCTCTCTGTGAGTCTCCCTGTTCAGCTGCACATAGATTGAGCTTGGAGGGTGGTGCTCTCATTCTAGAGAGTTGTTTTGCAGAATATTCCGCTCCTTGGAGCTCCATGCTTCAGCCATGCCAGGTTGTTAGGTCCTCAATGGGCCTTCGTGATAAGGGCAGCCTAATTTTGAACTTGCCAGTGCTCCCCTTGCTCAGAGGGTCACCTGTGAGTATGCCACTCCCTAAGGCGGTAAGCGTAAGAGTACTCCCACAGCTTTAGAGGGTCATTATGTTGAGTACTTGCTCCCGAGACCTCTGTTTTGCATGTAGGTTGAACGTTCTTAGTACTCCTCTCTCTCTAGAGAGTTATTATGCAGAGTACTCTACTCCCTAGAGCTCTGTGCTGGGTGAGCTCTGTGAGGTCAGGTTGTTAGGCACCCTGTGAGCCTCCTTTATGGTATGTATTCCTTTATGGTACGTATTCAGAGTATTCCGCTTCTTAGAGCTTCTTCAGCCATGCCAGGTTGTTAGGCCCTTGATGGGTCTCTTTTATGCCCTTATGGTTGAGCTTAGCAGTGCTCCCCTCTGCTCTGAGGGTTGTCTGAGAATACGCTGATCCCTAAGGTGGTAAGCATTAGAGTGCTCATTTTAGAGGCTCATTTTAGAGGGTCATTATGCTGAGTATTTGCTCCTGAGAGCTCTGTTCTGCACACAGGTTGAACACACTTGGTACTCCTCTTGCTTTAGAGAGTTCTTATGCGAAGTATTTCGCTCCCTAGAGCTCTGTGCTGCAGTAAAGTCAGGTCATTAGTCTCCCTGATGATCTGCCCTTATGGTCGAGCTTGGCAGTGCTCCCCTCACTTCAGAGGGTTGTCTGTGAGTACACCACTCACTAAGGTGGTGAGCATAACAGTAATCCCCTTGCTTTAGAGGGTCGATATTTGAGTATTTGCTCCCAATAGCTCTATCATGTGCATAGGTTGAGCGTGTTCAGTACACCCCCCGCTTTAAGTGGTCATCATGCTGAGTACTCCGCTCTGAGTACTTATTCAGAGCCTCATCCTGTAGCCTCCCCGGGAGTTAGGGGTAGACACAGTGGGTCCCCCTAGGCAGGTGCGAATTTTGGGGGCCCTAAACAAGCGGTCCTTGGGGGCCCCTTTGGTAGAAATCGCGTTCCTTGGGGGCAGGGGTGTCATGTACTTAGAATTTTTGAGGGTGCACTTGTGGGGAAGGTGGGGGGGTTGTCATGCCACACACAGCAGCCACGATAGTACTGTATAACTGATGTAGGCCTATTGGTTTTATTCCATTTTTCCGTTTTCTTTTTCATTTAAAATATACCCAAACTTGTTAATTATATCATGAAATATCTTGATTCTTGAATATGTGTAAGTAAGTGAATTTAGTAGCCTAAGTGTAATCTATTACCTACGCATAAAACCCGTCTTTTTACTTAAGTACTTTACTTATGGGTGTCATGTAATCAAATATTTTAATACGTCTGATTTTGTATTTAACGTGAATTTAATAAAAGATATTGTAAGTTACTAATTATAATGCTTTCATTGTACAGAAAGTAAGCCAAGAATATTTACATTATCAAATAACATTTTCATTGACTTAAATCTAGTGCGAGTTTAAGCACTGTCAAAAACTCCTGTTTGCCTATAATCAATGAAACTGTCTACACTGTGAAATGAATCTCTTAATTACATCGTACGGACATTTGCACTCTGATGTTTATGATTAGAGAATTTGCAATGAGTACGTGCACGAACAAACCTCCGCGACGTTTCAGCGATGACTAATCTGAACGCTTCTGATTGGACACTGCATTCATAAACTCAACATAATCGTCTGTAATTGGTTTAATGCGCAACTCTGCAAAAACGCATAAAAAAGATTTGATACAACATGAGCAGATATCAATTTAATGCCGCAATCGACACTTTTTTCATTTCATCTTTCACTGTAATTGCGACAGTGTGAGAAACAGAAAATAAACATTATATGGTTGAAAACACGGAAAAGTTTTGATAGATGACAAGTGAGTGCGTCTGTCTCAGGCTCAGCGCCAGCCAAAGCGCGAACGCAGATTTGAATTGAGCAGCTGATGATAATCACACCATTTTTCCGTTTTCTTTTTCATTTAAAATATACCCAAACTTGTTAATTATATCATGAAATATCTTGATTCTTGAATATGTGTAAGTAAGTGAATTTAGTAGCCTAAGTGTAATCTATTACCTACGCATAAAACCCGTCTTTTTACTTAAGTACTTTACTTATGGGTGTCATGTAATCAAATATTTTAATACGTCTGATTTTGTATTTAACGTGAATTTAATAAAAGATATTGTAAGTTACTAATTATAATGCTTTCATTGTACAGAAAGTAAGCCAAGAATATTTACATTATCAAATAACATTTTCATTGACTTAAATCTAGTGCGAGTTTAAGCACTGTCAAAAACTCCGGTTTGCCTATAATCAATGAAACTGTCTACACTGTGAAATGAATCTCTTAATTACATCGTACGGACATTTGCACTCTGATGTTTATGATTGGAGAATTTGCAATGAGTACGTGCACTGAACAAACCTCCGCGACGTTTCAGAGATGACTAATCTGAACGCTTCTGATTGGACACTGCATTCATAAACTCAACATAATCGTCTGTAATTGGTTTAATGCGCAACTCTGCAAAAACGCATAAAAAAGATTTGATACAACATGAGCAGATATCAATTTAATGCCGCAATCGACACTTTTTTCATTTCATCTTTCACTGTAATTGCGACAGTGTGAGAAACAGAAAATAAACATTATATGGTTGAAAACACGGAAAAGTTTTGATAGATGACAAGTGAGTGCGTCTGTCTCAGGCTCAGCGCCAGCCAAAGCGCGAACGCAGATTTGAATTGAGCAGCTGATGATAATCACACCGGTGTGATTGTATCAAATGTAAAAATATTATTGGGCTATTTTTTGTCTTTTGGAATCCACTTGGGTCAAAAATCTGAGGGGCACGTTCCCCCTCTCCTCGGTTTGAATGGGTATGATGCCTCTGCTCTGGGGGCCTCCTGGACCGTGGGGCCCCACACAATTGTGTTGTTTGCGTGGTGCCTAAACACACTACTGCCCTTAGGTGACAGGCTAGGGTCTGGTAGAAATAGTAAGAAATAGATGCCTGGCCATATCCCCTTGAAGGAATCATACTAGATGTGATTCCAAGCCTTTGAGCTCTGCCCTGAGGCCGAGCTCCCTTCTGCTCAGTCCCTAGGTGGTAAGTTCTTTAGGGTATGTAGCTCAGGTTTTTGGCTGAAGGGGATAGTGTCACTGATTGCTACGTCCGAGGGGTAACTATGACGGTTATCCTGTGGAGCTGATGCTTAGTGCTTGCCTTCAGAGATTATGGCATGCACTCCCCTCAACATGGCAGAGTGGGTATTTCGTTCCCCATAGCAACCACTAGAGGATGCAGTGTGAGTTCCCTTGAAAGGGAATGTCTCATGTTACGCATGTAACCATGGTTCCCTGAAAGGGAACGAGACATTGCATCCCCTCGCCATGCCTCAGGGATGCCTACTTCGTCTCCTTCAGACAATGGTCACACTGGTAGTGACATCATAAGCTGTTGCCAGCCAATGTTTTTGTTGTGTTTAGACATGTGCTTCAGACACCGGTGATGCTGGAAGCATTCCCCATAGTGACCGCTAGAGGACGCAGTGTATCGTTCCCTCTCAGGGAACTATGGTTACATGCATTACCTGAGACGTTATAACAGGAATTTGTGAGATCGCGATGAGTGACGAATTTTTTGTGATGTTAAAAGGGAGCTTTATTTGCGCGCTTTCTTGGCTATATATAATCCATTCTGAATTTCAATTGTATGGGCTATTTTTTGTCTTTTGGAATCCACTTGGGTCAAAAATCTGAGGGGCACGTTCCCCCTCTCCTCGGTTTGAATGGGTATGATGCCTCTGCTCTGGGGGCCTCCTGGACCGTGGGGCCCCACACAATTGTGTTGTTTGCGTGGTGCCTAAACACACTACTGCCCTTAGGTGACAGGCTAGGGTCTGGTAGAAATAGTAAGAAATAGATGCCTGGCCATATCCCCTTGAAGGAATCATACTAGATGTGATTCCAAGCCTTTGAGCTCTGCCCTGAGGCCGAGCTCCCTTCTGCTCAGTCCCTAGGTGGTAAGTTCTTTAGGGTATGTAGCTCAGGTTTTTGGCTGAAGGGGATAGTGTCACTGATTGCTACGTCCGAGGGGTAACTATGACGGTTATCCTGTGGAGCTGATGCTTAGTGCTTGCCTTCAGAGATTATGGCATGCACTCCCCTCAACATGGCAGAGTGGGTATTTCGTTCCCCATAGCAACCACTAGAGGATGCAGTGTGAGTTCCCTTGAAAGGGAATGTCTCATGTTACGCATGTAACCATGGTTCCCTGAAAGGGAACGAGACATTGCATCCCCTCGCCATGCCTCAGGGATGCCTGCTTCGTCTCCTTCAGACAATGGTCACACTGGTAGTGACATCATAAGCTGTTGCCAGCCAATGTTTTTGTTGTGTTTAGACATGTGCTTCAGACACCGGTGATGACTAATTTTTTGTGATGTTAAAAGGGAGCTTTATTTGCACGCTTTCTTGGCTATATATAATCCATTCTGAATTTCAATTGTATTTTATTTTTGTTTTTCATGATGCTAAGACGACCAGTGGCCACATACATAAAATGCATAAAGTAACAGAATATTACCTTTGTTTTTATGAACAAACACAGCTATCAGTATTCCAGCAATCATACTGAGCACAATAAAAACTGAAATCAGGATGATTGGTGTCCTCCAAGAAATAAACATATTACCTGTAAAACAAAACAGTAATTCAGCACATTGTGTAAATCAAATGTTTATTACTGGTTCATAAAAATATATAATGCTAAATTCTGAATGGTATATACACAATAAAATTATAATATAAAAATCTGTTAATGAATCCAATGCTGCTAATGTTTTAAGCTTAACATAATGTAATGGACTAAGGTAATGATCATTAAAACATTTTACTGCAACAAAATGAAAACATGACAAACAATAACAACAACAAAAGTGTCAGTTCTTACTTGTGGTGATAATCAGTGCCTCCAGCATGTGATGTCTCAGTTTGACTCTGCAGTGAATCTTGTCACTGTGATGTAAAGTGATAGTATGTTTCACATTGAATCCCTCTGTGTTTCTGTGTTTCTCTGTAGTTTCTGAACTCAAACTGACTCCTGCACTGTCCAGCCACTCAAGATCAGGTTCAGGATACCAGCCTTCAGATTCACACTGTAGATGAAGCCCTCCTGAATGATCAAACCCATCTACAGTGATCACTGGAGGACGTCCTACAGCTACAGACCAACATCAACAACATTCAGTGAGTGAATTAAACAATATAATAAAAAAGCAACATGTGAGGTTCACCTTTTTCAAATATTAGATCAGTTTACCTCAAAACCATTCTAATGAGATTACTCTCACAAATACCATTGCTCAGATGATATGTCAGCATTAATTAGTATATACAGAGTTTATAAATATGCTGAATTGATTTTTGTCACCATCTTACTGGGGGCTTCTTCCCCTCATCTTAACCTACATCAAACGCATCATGACTAAACTTAAATGTTAGCTTTCACTGGTTTACTCACCTTCAACTTTAACATTAACAGTGGTGTCATCGTTCCAGGATTTGGACTGAATGAAACATTTATAAAGTCCTTCATCAGAGACTCGGACTGATGAGAGTTTGAGTGATGCGTTTCCTCTCTGTAGTTCTTGATGATTCAGTTTTGTTCTCCCTCTGTAGGACTGAATCTGCTCTGTGTTTCTGTCTTCATGATCATCAAAGAGATGCACTAGTAAGTATTTCTGATCTAGTCTATGCCACTCCACTCTCATGTCCACAACACTGATGCTGGGTTTGACTGAACTTTGCTTTTATTGTTGTGATTATTTGTATGATTATTTTAATCCTTTTTTATGTAAAGCACTTTGAATTACCATTGTGTATGAAATGTGCTATATAAATAAACTTGCATTGCTTTGCCTTGAATATTATCCCTATACTGCCTTATTTACATAAAATATATAAAATAACAAGAAAACAAGTATTTTACCTCTGTTTTTATGAGCAAACACAGCTATCAGTATTCCAGCAATCACACTGAGCACAACAATCACGATGACTGATGTCCTCCAAGAATTAAACATATTACCTGCAAAACAAAACAGTAATTAAGCATTCTGACAAGATTATTAAAAAAATATATCATGTTCATTTCTGAATGGTACATAGACAGTAAAATGTTTTAGCTTTACATAATGTAACTGACTAAGCTGATAATCATTAAATATTTTTACTTCATCAAAAATACCATAAGAAGATGACAAACTTGCCAGTACTTACTTGAGCTGATAATCAGTGCCTCCAGCATGTGATGTCTCAGTTTGACTCTGCAGTGAATCTTGTCACTGTGATGTACAGTGATAGTATGTTTCACATTGAATCCCTCTGTGTTTCTGTGTGTCTCTGTAGTTTCTGAACTCAAACTGACTCCTGCACTGTCCAGCCACTCAAGATCAGGTTCAGGATACCAGCCTTCAGATTCACACTGTAGATGAAGCCCTCCTGAATGATCAAACCCATCTACAGTGATCACTGGAGGACGTCCTACAGCTACAGACCAACATCAACAACATTCAGTGAGTGAATTAAACAATATAATAAAAAAGCAACATGTGAGGTTCACCTTTTTCAAATATTAGATCAGTTTACCTCAAAACCATTCTAATGAGATTACTCTCACAAATACCATTGCTCAGATGATATGTCAGCATTAATTAGTATATACAGAGTTTATAAATATGCTGAATTGATTTTTGTCACCATCTTACTGGGGGCTTCTTCCCCTCATCTTAACCTACATCAAACGCATCATGACTAAACTTAAATGTTAGCTTTCACTGGTTTACTCACCTTCAACTTTAACATTAACAGTGGTGTCATCGTTCCAGGATTTGGACTGAATGAAACATTTATAAAGTCCTTCATCAGAGACTCGGACTGATGAGAGTTTGAGTGATGCGTTTCCTCTCTGTAGTTCTTGATGATTCAGTTTTGTTCTCCCTCTGTAGGACTGAATCTGCTCTGTGTTTCTGTCTTCATGATCATCAAAGAGATGCACTAGTAAGTATTTCTGATCTAGTCTATGCCACTCCACTCTCATGTCCACAACACTGATGCTGGGTTTGACTGAACAGGGCAGAATCACATCTTCACCAGCTACAGCAAATACAGAATCTGCAGGACCCACTACCTTATACTGCTCTGTAAAAGAGAAAGAAAGTAGGTCTGTTACATACAGGGTATCTGAAGAGTTTTAAAGTCAAATTTAAGACCCTGTCAAGACCTGCTAAAGTAAAACGAATACCATATGTCCATATACAAACCTATACAATCTCAACATAAATCACATATACCAGATTATTTTACTCAGTTAGAAGGATGCTACACACATTCAAATGCAAAACCTAGTAACTGCAAAATTTAAAATACCCAAGACATGTTTTATTCAATATATACATATTTAATAAAATTGGTTTGTGTACTAATATCAAACAAAATCAATACATACAAATTAGAGGTGGATTGATATTGGATTTTGCTGATTCTGACAAACAGAGTTGCACAATCTCACAGACTTTGGCCTGGGACACACTAGACGATTTTCAAATCTTAACCGATTTTAAAACTATGGGAGACCACAGACATGAAGACAGTTTCAACTGATTTTTAGCCTTATAATCCTCTGAACGCACACACCAGATGATTTGACCAGACACGAGATCTCACTGAGATTCTCACTGAGAAACGTGATTAGAGAAGAAAAACACATGGAAGGACAGTCAAAGTTGTCCACAGGCTGTACTTCTGTTGTACAGTGAAAAAAAAAAGAAAGAATATGGGTGATATTCTTTCTCTGTACTCTGCTTTCATGGCATGTTTGTGGCTGCCAAGTTTCAGCTATAGATGGACACAACATCCGCAAATCGAGAAAGGAAAACTTGAAATCGCATCATATGACCCCTTTAAAATCGGCCTTAAAATCTTCAAGTGTGGCTAGCCTTCCATAGGAATTGAGGAATGCAGAAGTAACGTGTGTCGTGGAGTAACCAATAGTTCCAAACAACTAATAGTTCCAGCACTGAACCTCATTCAGTGTTTCTCAAGCACACTACCTGGTAAATTGAGGAAATTACTTCATTTTTTGACATTTTATTGCATTAGTTGACCTCTCAGGAATCTAACCAGTAGTGTTTGTTGTTAGATAATACATATAATTGCAGTTACATACTGTCAGCAAAGTCTTTACCAACCATTCTATATGATCTATTTTAATACTTAAAGTAGCCCATCATAAATGTAAAATGTACTAAAAATAAATAAATTAATTAATTAATAAATAAATAAAATAAGAACCAAAATTAAGTTAATTCAGCATGCTCAATTCTAATCCGAAATAGGCTATTTCTCTATTGCTTCAATCTAGCCACTGCTAAAGTCAGAACAAGTCTGTATGGGCTGAATAGAGCAAATCAGTGTCTCACCAGTAAAGTTTTGCTGGACGATGAGTGTAATCAAGGTAAAGATGATTACAATGACATACTTGAGTCGTACATTATTAGACATGTGCGAGTCCGTTATAATGAATGCAAAACAAACCGCTCTCTGATAGCTTTTTGCACAAGCACATTTCATTATGGTCACATGTCTGGTGAGTGTTTTATAATGGATACTCTTTGAAGAAGAGTATCATACATACATACATACATATTTATGTATGTATGTATGTATTTATTCATTTATTTATTTATGCTTCAAGTCTTTTTTTTCTTCTGTTAACTTTTTCTTTAACTGTTCATTAAATCCTACTGGGATGGGTTAGTGTGAAAATAATAATAATAATAATAATAATAATAATAATAAACATTGTAATATTTCCTATTTTATTTTAAGTATTGTTCATTTATTTTTCATTGAACACGTTGTGCGTCTAGAGATTAACATTATTTTAAAACACACTAATATCATTTTACAGTGGAGTGGAGTACAATCTTGCCTAGAGCACCAAAATGGTAAGAAACGGCCCTGGCTGAACACAAAATAAGATATTTGAAAGAATGTGGGAAACCAAACAGATGCCACTGACTTCTATAGTATGAAAAAAAGGGCTACTATGGAAGACAGTGGGGACCAGAAACTGTTTGGCACATTTTTCAAAATATTTTTTGAAATTTGAGATCGAATTTTCATTTTTGGGTGAACTATCCCTTTAAGACTTGTGTTATACTTTTAAGATACTGAAACAATTTTATGACCTTAAATTTTGATAAAACTGATTTTTTTTTTTTTTTTTGACATTTTAAGACTTTGTAAGGACCTGTGAGACCCTGCGCAAGACCTACAGGTTTTGTGTCTTTACCTCTACATGTGAACCGAGGTGTTATCATCAAACCTATATGATTATCTACAAAAGAAGATAATAATTCACTGGACAGTTAAGTGTCTAGTATCAACCTCCAAAAGGGACAAAAAGTTACAATAACAGTGCATAACTTAGATGTGTCAAGCCAGGTTTAATGTCATTGGCACTAGTCAAACCACCCTGTCACACACTGATCACAACAAATGTGTGATTCTAGTATTTTGAAACAAACAAAACAACACAAGAGACACACCTTTCCTAAAAATTGTTTTTCCTCATTCCACACGTTTCCATGTAAAGCAGCAAGGTTTGCACTTGACTATGTATTATTAATTATAATTGCACAGCTCTCTGTAAAACTGATTAGTCTCTCTCTCTCTCGATGAACTGATCAGTTGTCAATTCAGTGGTGAAATATTTCTGAATAATGCTATTTATCTTTGACAACGTTATATAACTGACCGCTTATCCTGCAACTTAGCCTAGTTTTCTACATGCACATGATCTCTGCAGTTTCTACAAGATAATGAAATAATTGCTATATCAGTATTTCATGTCGATTTATTTATTTGGTACGTAGCCATGTAAAAAGTGTAAAAAACTCTTTCTTTTACACATGAACACACACCTCATCTCTTTAAAACACAGCTCTCTAAAAGGAGTAAACCATTACCTGATCTTGAGTCTGTAATTCCACTAATAATCAGCAGCGTCAAACAAATGAACTTCATCCCTGAATGACACAGATGCTAAAAGAAAATTATGAAAAGAGAAAACATATTATAATCAGAAACTCACAGAATGGTGTATTAGCATGCAAGTGTTTGCCTCAGAATACTTAAGTACATACACATACACTTACCAAAAACTTAAGCTTACCACACACACACACACACACACACAATCACTTTCTGTTACATGAAAACCAGTTAAACCTGCAGAAATATGAAACATACTTTATCAAACATGCCCAAACAGATATACAGATGACTATTCATGTAAATTGAAACAATTGGATCTAGTATTTTGAAAAATTCTTTTTTTTATTCCTGTTTCAAAAACATCATACCCTTTTATTTATTTACATTTACTTATAATTATACATTATTTAAACTTGATGAAAGCATATATCTGACCTCAAGTCACGCTCTTGCTAGACTTACCCTTTTTCAGGTGTTTCTTGATTCTTCTATGAATTATGATCATTGTCTTGAGTGTCTGAATAAATTGTGTTGATATGAGAATTAATATGAAGATCATAAAGAAGTCATTACTGGCTTGGTTTTACGTATTTACATCACTGAACAACTTAAGTGATGACACAAAAAACTGCTCTGCAGAGAATATAATTTATAATAGAACGTGTGCCAATTTAACAGCTACATTACTAAGTATTAATGAGCAAATTAGGAGTTTACTGAGGTAAAATACATAGTTAATAGTTAGTTAATATTGAGAATTGGATCTTAAAATAAAGTGTGACCAAATTCATTGAAATAAAAAAACTGTTGTAGTTTAGGATTTTATCCAGTGAAAAAATTTTTTCTAGGCTTTAAAAACGCTAATCTCTAAAATGATCATAAATGAGCTCAACAATGAACATCTGAAATTAAACAGAGCCACTTTAACACAGAACATCAGATATACTGATAACACCTCAAAATTTCACTCAATAGAAAAAAAACAGGGTAGTATATTTTGGGGGGAGGGATTGGAACAACTTGAAGGGTCAGTAAATGATGACAGAATTTTCATTTTTGGGTGAACCATCCGTATAAGACAAAATCAATGTGAAATCAAACTAATAATAAAACATAGAATTCACACATTACAGTCATGAAAACTATGGAATAACACAGACAGCACTGTGGGAATGATGTAGTGAGCAACACATGTGACACAAATGAAAACCGTCTATATTTGAACTTGCTTTATTCCAGCTTTGCACAATCTGGACATTCATTAACAAATACCGAACACTATTGAGAAACATAGAATAAACCTATAATTGCTTTCACTAGCAGTCTAAATAATATGCAATATTTATTGCTATTACACTTTTTTTTTCTTTTAGTTGTATTTCCTTTTATGTCACAGTCACTGATCTCATTAGTAATCATCACAGATGATCAGTGGGATAGAATTTGTATTCCAAGAATAATAACCTTCCCCCAAACAAACAAATGGATAGAGTTTCTCATCAAAAGACTGGTCAGTGTAAGAATAGATATGATATATGGACTCCACATCATAAAAGGAGACGAGACCCTTTTCATAATCCACAAACACACCAACCCTCTGAGGATTCACACTCAGAGAAATCAGAAACTCACAGAATGGTGTATTAGCATGCAAGTGTTTGCCTCAGAATACTTAAGTACATACACATACACTTACCAAAAACTTAAGCTTACCACACACACACACACACACACACACAATCACTTTCTGTTACATGAAAACCAGTTAAACCTGCAGAAATATGAAACATACTTTATCAAACATGCCCAAACAGATATACAGATGACTATTCATGTAAATTGAAACAATTGGATCTAGTATTTTGAAAAATTCTTTTTTTTATTCCTGTTTCAAAAACATCATACCCTTTTATTTATTTACATTTACTTATAATTATACATTATTTAAACTTGATGAAAGCATATATCTGACCTCAAGTCACGCTCTTGCTAGACTTACCCTTTTTCAGGTGTTTCTTGATTCTTCTATGAATTATGATCATTGTCTTGAGTGTCTGAATAAATTGTGTTGATATGAGAATTAATATGAAGATCATAAAGAAGTCATTACTGGCTTGGTTTTACGTATTTACATCACTGAACAACTTAAGTGATGACACAAAAAACTGCTCTGCAGAGAATATAATTTATAATAGAACGTGTGCCAATTTAACAGCTACATTACTAAGTATTAATGAGCAAATTAGGAGTTTACTGAGGTAAAATACATAGTTAATAGTTAGTTAATATTGAGAATTGGATCTTAAAATAAAGTGTGACCAAATTCATTGAAATAAAAAAACTGTTGTAGTTTAGGATTTTATCCAGTGAAAAATTATTTTCTAGGCTTTAAAAACGCTAATCTCTAAAATGATCATAAATGAGCTCAACAATGAACATCTGAAATTAAACAGAGCCACTTTAACACAGAACATCAGATATACTGATAACACCTCAAAATTTCACTCAATAGAAAAAAAACAGGGTAGTATATTTTGGGGGGAGGGATTGGAACAACTTGAAGGGTCAGTAAATGATGACAGAATTTTCATTTTTGGGTGAACCATCCGTATAAGACAAAATCAATGTGAAATCAAACTAATAATAAAACATAGAATTCACACATTACAGTCATGAAAACTATGGAATAACACAGACAGCACTGTGGGAATGATGTAGTGAGCAACACATGTGACACAAATGAAAACCGTCTATATTTGAACTTGCTTTATTCCAGCTTTGCACAATCTGGACATTCATTAACAAATACCGAACACTATTGAGAAACATAGAATAAACCTATAATTGCTTTCACTAGCAGTCTAAATAATATGCAATATTTATTGCTATTACACTTTTTTTTTCTTTTAGTTGTATTTCCTTTTATGTCACAGTCACTGATCTCATTAGTAATCATCACAGATGATCAGTGGGATAGAATTTGTATTCCAAGAATAATAACCTTCCCCCAAACAAACAAATGGATAGAGTTTCTCATCAAAAGACTGGTCAGTGTAAGAATAGATATGATATATGGACTCCACATCATAAAAGGAGACGAGACCCTTTTCATAATCCACAAACACACCAACCCTCTGAGGATTCACACTCAGAGAAAGAGAGACATGGTAAGACTCATAAGCCCAATACCCCCCATCTCTCAGAGTCACAGTCCAATATCCATTCATAGGACTCAGACGGATCCAGCCCTTCCTGCTAACAGATGCTCTGGTCACTCCTAAATACCACTCAGTCTGTCCCTTCACCTGCACCTCAAAGTAAAAACACCCTGAGGAGAATCCATCCTTCCCAAGAACACCAAGATGTTGATCAAATCTGTCTTTTTGTTCATCCACTCCTTTCTGTTTTCTGTTTCCATTTCTCACTTGTTTCCCATCATCAGACACGATGAGATGTGAATGAGCCATATCAGCATCCAGAATCACATTCACTGCAAAAAATATTGAAAATTCTGCTTTACAGATGAGTACGTAACAAAGATAATGACAATTATTATTTATAGGAATCATGGTAACTTTACAAGAAGATTAACAAAAATGGAAATACTTGATTATGTGTGAATAATGAATTTAATAAAAAAGAATGGGGAAAAAACCCTGTAATGTTCACTGTGTATTATATTATGAACAATAATGTTCACAATTTTCACATTTGCTACTTGGAGACTGAAATGTTCTGATTGTTCTGGTTGTGTTTTTCCTGATTCATTTTCCTGATTCATTTGCTTTGAGGTTGTTTTCTCTATGTGTCATCGTTTTCAATGTTGGATCCCCTAGTGTGAATTTTTAGGGGTCCAAGCACCAAAAGGCTATTGTGTCTTCTTCTTCTTCTTCTTCTTAATTTTTCTGCCCAAAAAATAAATGGGCATCATAGACTGTAAACTGCAGAGCCCTGACAGGATGGTCCCAAAAGTGTACCGCTACTCACGTGCACAGATACACATCCTTTGGACACCCAGTGGTGCTATAATAAGGCAATTTGCATTCTGGTTCAACTCTGGAACCATAAGGGCTAGAATCAAAATTCTTTGTCCGGTGAATCCTTAATTCAGGCACTACAGAATGCATATATCCTGTTTTATTTCTGCCATTTTTAATTTTCTTTAAAAATGTACTTTTTTGAACTCCTCCTAGGTCATTCGTCTGATTTGCATGATATTCAAAACAAATCATCTGCAGACACTCATGATAATGTCCAAGCTTAATCAAACTTGACACCCATAGACAACAGGACACTGTAAGGACTGAAAAATGACAACTGAATAATCACTAATATTCCACAACTGTACAATCTAGGAAGGTCAAAATTGGTACGCATCTTCTTTGGTTCATGTCCTAACATAACCAAACATAATCTTATTATTGGCAGATACCAGGGTCCGTGGTTCTATCATTGGAGAAAGCATGACGGTCAACTTGGATCAAATGTACCTTGATAACCAATTACATTACAGTCTTGACATCATTGAATTTCTGTCAGAGTTGTGCGACAGTCAATGACTGTTTGTGGATGCCACAGAAATGACTGAGAAGTGCCATAAACTGAATCCTACCTTTTTTTTCAGTGTAAAGTCTAAAAATAGATCAATCCAAAAGGAATGTTTAATGGCAAACATGTTGCTGATTAGCTGATTCATTCCAGCATACGCTGTTTTTTGGTTTCACTACAAATACTATAGTTGAACTTCTAACGTCCGATTTAATAAATTTAGCTGCACAAACAATTGTACAACTATAGCCTTTAACTACGTACAATTTTAATTAGTTTATTGTGAAATGGCTCAATCTAATGGATCCATATGATGTTTTTCTGTCCTCTGCATTGTTCTGGGCTGCATTTCCCAAAAGCATCATGAGCCTAATCTGATCGCAAAGATGGCAATGGTTTTTATGCCTCTACGATTTGGGACATTTCAATTAAGGAAGGAGATTAAACTATGGTAAGTGGTACAATATACAACTATTAAGACATTTAGTAATGTTTGCATCGAATTGCAGTATTATTTCACTTTCTAAAGGTTACAACTGAAATAATTTGCCATTTTTATCCTATTGTTTACTATATTTATTTGCTTGGTCACTGTCGTTATGGGTTTTGGTTCTTTTGCTATTGTAAGCTGTAAGGACATTTGAAATAACTGAAATCATTTGGCAAAGTGATATGGACATGTAATGCGGTCAAGACCTATACGTTCGCCATGCGTTTCCCTGAAAATAATTGTACATCTTAGAACGTTTGTCAGCCAATCAGATTCAAGCATTCAACAGCGCCGTAGTATAACAGGATTTTGGATACCATTTGCCAACATAGTTCTGTTTTGTTACGCACATAGATATCAAACATGGATAGGACATCAGTTTATATCTTCAGATTGAGGACTTGTTTGAATGCATTTTATTATTCAAGGCCCATATCGGATTATTTGATATTCTGAACGCTGCTCTAATCACTGCTCTTCAAAAGTTTTAAAAGTTGCATTTTTGGCTTGTTTGCCTCAGCGGTCCAACAGTACTCGTCAATGTCAAATTCATGGAAATGGCCAATCAAATCAAAGAAGGCGGGGTTTTCTGTTCACAGAATCCGAGCATGAATCAGCCAGTGCAATGCTCAGTTTAAACATTTAAACAGTGTGAGGTAATAAACATTAAGCAGGACTTTAAATAAGATATACAGTATATTATCATTCTTTTTTATAAGAGTTACTAAAGAAGATTTTACAAAGTGTGTGTAAGCTTTACTTGAAACAGAGTAAGTAAACTTTACTTAAGATTTTCTAATTAAAGCCACCAAGATTTGTGTGTAGCCTTTACTTGAAAACATGCTGATAAAGTTATTAGCAATGTCTGTTTCCAAATACTCCAAATATTTTCAGTGTACCTAACGACTTTCATTCTAAGAGTTAGAGGGAGTGATACATTGTTGACTCTGCTGTAAAAACCACATCATAATATACATCTGATTGCTAATCATCTACATGACCATTGGTGCTTTTTATTTTTGTGTCTTGTTTATGGCACCTAAACTGCATTTATTGCATTAAACCAAACTCTTAAAATCATCTCAATAAATATTCAACATGATAATGAAATTATTAAAATTAATAATTATATCACAAAATATGAATAGTTTTTACTTACCTGTGTATTTCCTTAAATGTGTAGTCACTAAAAACAAAAAGTATAACGTTATAAAGGGTTCATAACAGAATCCATCTTTAGGTCAAAGAGATCAGGCATTTTAACCAACACTTTGAGACCAATCAAATCCAATCACACTATAAAATATTTAAGGAAAAAATTTTTTGTCTGTATTCTTCACTGCATTATCAGTGAAGATGAGTGAGCCAATACTTGGTTTGTCAAAACAAAATGTGTTGACAAAAGTATATGAATACCCACTGTCTGTTAATTAAATATTGTGTGTGTGTGTGTGTTCACTCAACTTAAATTTTTGAGTTATCTTTTTGCACTGATTTTGTATTTGTGTAGAATATTTTCAACTAGACAAATTTAAAGTTACTTGAACTTATACAGTTTAGTTGGAATAACTTGATTAAAATAAGGTACTTTGAAGTTTTCAGTACAAAAGTTCACTTTAAAAAATGTTTTAGTTCACTCAACCTTTTGAGTTATCAATTACCACTCAGTTGAGCTGTATTTACTTATAATGTCAACTTGATCAATTTAGTTATTTGACAGTAAAATATAGTTGGATTAACTTTTAGAAAGTAAAATGAACTTATCTTTTCAATACCAAAGTTCATTTCACATAATTTGGCTTATTTTCTTATTTAACCATTATAGTCACTATTATAGTAAATGGTGTCTGCTTTAATTGAGCACTTGACTCTTGACTTTTTTTTTTTCAACAATTGCAACAGTGTTTAATTGAAATTACTTGTGCAATGACAAAGTAGATCAGCTGAAGTCTGCTTTTTATGACATTCAAATGTTTACAGTGGTTTAAATTCTACATTTTACATTAAAATTTTTACATTTTACAGTGTTTAAATGACTGTCTCAAAGCAAATACAGTAGTAGTGAGCTTGAGGCACTACTGAACTGTAAATATGCTTTAAATAAATAAAAACTAAATAAATTCAGCTGTGATAGAAAGATCACTAATGCACTGACACTTTTACCGTTTACTGCACTTTGTTATTCTTTTCATTATTCCCTATACAGCGGCTAAGTCTCGCACATTCACAGAAAACGGCTTACTTCTGCATTGAAAAATAAGGAGGATAGAGGGCAATTTTGATTTAGTTCAAAATGATGTCACACCAGTTTGTTCTTTGATTTTACTTGAAGTATATCGGATACCCTAGCGATATTGCCATATTTTGTGATATTAATCCTTTGTGAAAGGTTACTTGTGTGCACACTAAAGCGTCTCATGTACACTCGAAAGTAGGGTTGGGTATCGTTTGGTTTTTTTTCGATACCGGTGCCAAATCGATAATTTTAAAACGGTTCCGGTGCCTAAACGGTGCCTGAACCGATACTTATTAAAATAAATAAATAAATAAATAAAATTCCCCCAAAAATGATGGATTGGCCATTAGCACTATAAACACATGATGTCGGTTTCATTCATACTGGACGCCAGAGGGCGCCCTCGCACAGAAAATCCACATATCCAGTCACAGAAGTAGCAGAACTCATGACCCTCCAGGAAATCCCTTATATGTTTTTTTTTTCAGTCTATGGGATAAAGGCATGGCTATTATAGCTGTAACTGAGTAAACAGAACATATAAACATTTTGAATGATAAAACAAAGACAATAAATACTCGACTGCGACAATATAGTTTATCTGTGTTACCGGTATTTAAGCCATCTCTGGTATTTTCATAATAATTAAGTATACAGGTATTTATAATACATTGCTAATCGATGTATTCTTTTTAAAGCGGTTACATAGGTACCGGTGCCATATTGGTACCGGGTTTCGGTACCCAACCCTACTCTAAAGCATGATTTTTTTTTTTGCCCCTTTAGGGCAGAGGTGGGGAACGTTGATCCTGGAGGGCCAGTGTCCCTGCAGACTTGAGCTCCAACCCTAATCAAACACACCTGAATAAGCTAATCAAGGTCTTCAGGATACAGGTAGTTTTTTTTTTTTTTCAGGGTTGGAGCTAAACTCTGCAGGACAGTGGCCCTCCATGATCAAAGTTCCCCACCCCTGCTTTAGGGGCTCCATTTTTATTTACATAAAATATATAAAATAAGAAGAAAACAAGAACTTTACCTCTGGTTTTATTAACAAATGTAGCTATTAATGTACCAGCAAACGTACTGAACACAACAGCGACTGAAATCATGATGACTGATGTCCTCCAATAATTCCTCCAAGAAGTTTTTACCTGCATAAAAAAATAACATATTATGTAAGTCAAAGATTTATTATGGGTTGATTAAAATACATAATGATCAGTTCTGAATTGTACATAGGCTACTGGTGTAGTGTTAAGTCCACTTTAGTCGAGTACGAGTCAAATCAGAGTCCAAAAGGGACCAAGTCAGACTTAAGTCTGAGACCAAAAGGGTTGAGTCTGAGTCCAACTACACACTACTGTATGTCATTAAGTCAATATCTGAAGATTGTTTTAACCTTAACTATAAGAAAAGCATGCAATTTCATTAACAAAAGCACATCTCTTGCTTTGTCATTTTGGTTACACTTTATTTTGATAGTCCACTTTAGACATTCTACTAACTTAAAGTAACTTTGCAACACCAGGGCCACAAAACTATTATAATTTAGAGAAATAGTGTCCCTTTAATTAAAGACCATTGCTATGCTCTGAAAATGTAAACCCATTGAGCACAGAACAGTCAAGCTTAAACAGCCCACTTTACTTAAAATCACCATATTACTAGTATAAATATTGTAAGTACAAAGTTCTCAAGCTTACTGAAAACAAAACAAAAAACTAATTACTAATTACAAGCAATAGGACAAATAAAAACATTAATCAAAAATACAAATGGACCTTTTACAACAGACTATTATTGATCATAGTTAGCAAGTAGTTCTCAATGAGAATATTTTTATTTAGTAATTATCGAATACCTAATAAGAAACTACCTTTGTCCTAAATGTGCTATTATTTACTGCTTAGTTAATCTTGCTTCCATATTAGTTAATAGTATTAGGTTCAGTGTTAATGTAGTACTACTTATTACTTCCTGCATAGTTACTTGTTAACAACGGACCATCATTCTAAAATTTGGAATTTATTTTTATAAATGGGAGTTTGCAGCAGTGGCAACAGCATATAAACAAACTCACACACTCATACATTTTCAGGACTCGCGACAGCATTTTCGGCGAAGCCCTGCTGTGTGAAAGGAACCGGACCGGACAACTAGTTTTCTGTAACGCCATACAGTGTGAGTTCAGTAACGTGGATATAATCTGTGTGTCAGCTGAAGGTTTTAGATTCAGTCACTCTGTTTCATCAGAGGTGCTGCTTCATAGTCTCAATTTTAATATCAGCAGGTTTTTAATCCAGGGACAGAAAAACATGAATCATAATATTGCTTATATGTGATAATTAAACTTTAAACAGCTATGATTTTATTAATTAAATGCGAGTATGGAATGTTTCCAAATAAAAACGCAGTTAGCAATCATCAAATGGCCCACATTTATGCCAACTTGCCAAGTGATAGTTTTGATCTACTGATGATGAATAATGAATATTTTGTGTAATTTATGGTGTTTAAATCATACCTGTAAACTCATATTTTGGCCAGGAAAGTTTTGATGCATTTTCTTTTTATATAGCCTCCATATAATGGCTGTTATAACGTAGTGTTCACATTCATCTGGGGTAGGAGGGTTTAGCCTAATACCGTAAACTTTCCTACCAGCTGTGAAGGGGCATCAAGTCCTCGTCTGTTCGGACAACATGATGGTGGTGGCCTTTATAAATTGCCAAGGTGGTCTCAGGTCATGCTCCCTCTACAGGATGTCGAGATGCCTCCTTCTATGGGCACATTGAAACCTGCGTTCACTCAGGGCAGTACACATGCCAGGAAGACTGAACCAAGGAGCGAACATTCTGTCCCAGGGAAATAAATCTCCATGGAGATTCACTTCCCCGGGATAGCATGCAGGAGAATGGAGACTACACCCTCAAGGGGTTCAGAAGATTTGGTCGGTCTTCAAGAGGGCAGAGGTGGACCTCTTCGCCTCAGAAGACAACTCTCATTGCCCAACCTATTTCTTAAAGGATGAGATGCTCTGGCCCATGATTGGGCCTTTATGCCTTCCCTCCGATTGCCCTGCTTCCTCAGGTCATCAGGTGAGTCAGGGAAGTCAGATGCTTTGTCCTCCAGGTGGCCCCACTCTGGAGGAATCAGATGTGGTTCCCCGAGTTGATTAAGCTGTTGTCAGCAGCCCTTTGGCCAATCCCGCTGAGGAAGGACCTCCTCTCCCAAGCGAGAGACACGATCTGGCATCCCCGGCCTGAGATGTGGAGTCTTCATATTTTGCCCCTCGACGGGAGTCTTTACAGCTCACCGCGAGGGTAACTAAGACCATTTTGGAAGCTAAAGCTACGTCTACGAGATGCCTCTACGCCCTTAAGTGGTCTGTGTTTTCTGACTGGTGTGCAGTCCAGAATGAAGACCCATCCTCGTGTGACATTTAATCCATTTTAATCTTTCTGCAAGAGCTGCTGGATAAGGGGTGTTATAATTATGTCCCCACTGGATGCAACAAATGCCTCGTTTGTAATGGGTTTTAATGTTTATGTCTCGTCGCTCCGGCTGGACATGGCATCAACAGTTGTGAGGGGCGTAACATTTCCGTCACATGCTTGAGGTATTCGGCCAATCACAACGCACTGGAAAGCTAGCCAATCAGAGCACACCTCGCTTTTCAGACTGATGAGCTTTGCAAAAATTTCAAAAAGGCGGGGCATAGAGGAGAAACAATAATGTACAGTATGTGGAAAATAATGTGTTTTTTGAACTTTAAACCGCATAAACACATTTCATTACACCAAATACACAAAATAATGTTCTTTTTAGCAGCATCATATGACCCCTTTAACCTTTCTTGCTCAAAATATATGTGGCAGCCATCATGGTGAATCATGCTCTCGTGGCTGGCCAGTCAGTCCTGAGGGGAGCTCGGAGATTGAAATGGTCCTCGGGGCCCTTTAAGGACCCCCTTTCAGCCACTCCAGTCAGCTGACTTACAGCCTCTGTCGCTTAAGACAGCCCTCCTTTTGGCTTTAGCGTCGGTCAAGTGAGTGGGCAATTTTTAGCCGTGCTAAGTTAGCACTTCATGCCTTGAGTGAGCACTCTAGCCACTTCAGGCAATCAGAGTAGTGTATGCTTTAGAAACCACTCTAAAGGACTGCCAGTTACAAAGCAGAGACTATCCTACTGGATAGTAAATGCTAGCCCTGGCTTACACCTTAGTGGACTTACAGTGTCCTATTGGAGTGAGGGCCCACTCCACCAGAGGAATGGCCTCCTCCTGGGTTTGGTCCTGTGGAGTTTCAATTGGTGATATCTGTGCAGCAGCCGGCTTGTTTTCGTCGTGTACCTTCACTAGATTTTATAACCTGGACGTCTCTGCCCTTCAGGCATGGATCTTGTCCCCCTAATCTCCCTGATTCCCTTGTGAGTGGAGAAGGTCTTAGGGCACTTTCACACTAGCACATTTGGTGCGCACCCGGGTTCGATTGACGTCAGAGTTCGGTACGTTTGGCTAGTGTGAAAGCTGTCATGCTAACGTGGATGCGCACCGGGCTACCGAACGCGAGACTACCTGAAGGAGGTGGTCTGAGTTCAATTGCACTCGAACAGTGGCACGGTTCGCGTAAATATGAAAGCAACATGGACTCAGGGGCACACTTGTTAAGGAAGTAAAGTAACCTGTGCATGCGTTTTAGCCGATTACAATGTATTTTCTTCAATAAAACACATATAAGTGATGATAGTGTTGCTGATTTACCTTGGATTCGAGCGAGAGTGAGCCTGCAGTGTATTCGCGTGTAGCAACTGGAATCAGAGTGACAAATGAATGGTAATCTGCTCTCTCCTCAAAATAGCCGTCTACATGCACCGCACATACAGTATACCCATAAGTCGCTTACTCTGCTGCGCATAATAGCACCAAATTAATTAAAAACACAATATATTGACCCACGTTCTGTCTTACACATTCGTGATGACGTAAGATGACCGCAAATGCACTGGGGTTAGATAGAATTAAAGGCACAATATGTAAGATTTTTTTATTAAAATATCCAAAAACCACTAGAACAGTGTTATATATTTTGCTGACTTGTGTACTTACATTATCCCAAATGTTTCGAAGAATGTTTAAATCCAGAGAAATAAGCAATTTTAACTAGTGACACGGCCCGTGTCCATAGTGTCATTGTGTCGCCTGCCAATGACGTCAAAACCCCTCGATTTCCGGTTTTGTTTAGTTGAAAACATGGAAACACCAAAGACACTTTAATATGCTATGCGTTTTAATAGACAGGTGACGACCGCACTGAGTAACATTATAACAGAACGTTCAAATGCATCTAGTATGATAAAACAGCGCTGCTTCCTTCCGCTACTTTCCGGAAGGAGCGGAAGCGGTCGACTGTGGCATAATAAAAGCGCCGCTGCTTTCGAGCCGTGTGTCACGCTCGTTCAGCGCCTCGTTTCACTTCGACGGCTTTCAGCCTCACCCTACTTCATTCTACTACGTTAATAAATCATTAGCTCATCCATGATTTTTCCCCACATACGCACGACCGGAAGGAGCGGAAGCGGTCGACTGTGGCATAATAAAAGCTCCGCTGCTTTCGAGCCGTGTGTCACGCTCGTTCAGCTGCCTTGTTTTGCTTCGACGGCTTTCAGCCTCACCCTGCTTCATTCTACTATGTTAATAAATCATTAGCTCATCCATGAACATGATTTCTGCCCGAGTCCCGTCGAATTGCATCGGCTGTGGGGATGAAGACGACAACTCCCATGATTCCACACTCAGTCACGGCGTCATCAGACTACGCCTTTGCCTCTTTGTTTATTTTGAATACGCGCCCTCTAGCGGCGAAAATTACATATTGTGCCTTTAAGAGAGTGTGAAACCAGACCAACGCTGCGGGGGGTGCCAGGAGCAATCGCACTCGGGTTCGAACCATAGCAAACAAGCCCAGTGTGAAAGCCACCTTAGTTATGCAGACCCCGACCTCAGGACCTAAGTCTCATTATTAGCTAATGCTTCTTAGGAGCCATCATTGCGGCACTCCGGGGCTGGGCTCACAGAGCAGCTTCGTTCTGCGCTTATTTATAGCATGACGCTATTGGATACATTCCCCATAGTGTTTCATGCAACGTGATAGACTGTTTTCGAAGGGAACGCTCCAGTAACTAAAGTAACCTCAGTTCCCTGAGATAACAGGAATGAGCATTGCTTAGACTGCCATGCTATAAAGCTGCAGTATAAAGTATTCAGAGTAAACAGGAGTTTCCACATGGAGTTTGACGCATCACTCGTTCCCGTTATCTCAGGGAAACGAGGTTACGCTCAACGCTGAGAAAAAAAAAAAACATTTTGCAAAACCTAGTGCTGCTATAATGGATTAAATCTTTTTACTGCATACCATGAAAACATGAAAAAAAATTACAGGAACAAAAGTGTCAGTACTTACTTGTGTTTATCAGTGTCTCCAGCATGTGATGTCTCAGTTTGACTCTGCAGTGAATCTTGCTGTCTCTCTCATATACAGTGATGGTGTGTTTCACACTGAATCTGTCTGTGTTTCTGTGTTTCTCTGTAGTTTCTGAACTCAAACTAATTCCTTCACTGTCCAGCCACTGAAGATCAGGTTCAGGATACCAGCCTTCAGATTCACACTGTAGATGAAGCCCTCCTGAATGATCAAACCCATCTACAGTGATCACTGGAGGACGTCCTACAGCTACAGACCAACATCAACAACATTCAGTGAGTGAACTAAATATCATAAAACAGCAACATAAACATCAAATGCATCATGCCTAAACATTACATGTTAACTTTTGTTAGTTTCCTCACCCTCAACTCTGACATTAACAGTGGTGTCATCATACCAGGATTTAGACTGAATAAAACACTTATAACGTCCTTCATCAGAAACTTGGACTGATGAGAGTTTGAGTGATGCGTTTCCTCTCTGTAGTTCTTGATGGATCAGTTTTGTTCTCCCTCTGTAGGACTGAATCTGAATTGTGTTTCTGTCTTCATGATCCTCATAGAGATCAGATCTAAACTTTCAGATCAGATCTAAACCACTCCACTCTCATGTCCACAACACTGATGTTGGGTTTGACTGAACAGGGCAGAATCACATCTTCACTAGCTACAGCAAATACAGGATCTGCAGGACCCACTACCTTATACTGCTCTGTAAAAGAGAAAGAAAGTAGAACTAAACTACACGTCATAAAGGTTTCATGTTGGTCCAGACAAACAGTACTGTGCAAAAGTAGTTATAAACATAATTTATTATTCAGTGATTAATAAATTACCTGATCTTGAGTCTGTAGTTCCACTCACAAACAGGAGAGTCAAACAAATGAACTTCATGTCTGAAGAGACACAGATGCTAAAAAGAAAATTAAAATAATAATAATAAAAAAGAAAATAGAATAGTGTGTCAGCATGCACACTTTTTACTTTAAAATACTACTTAAACTTACCCACCTGGTCGAATGGAAGAAACACAATTATTCTTTCTAATGAAAGAAAACCAGTTAAACCGGGTCAAGACAAGTACAGACAAATAGAGAATGTATATCTAGTTAATAAAATACATATAAATATGAAAGGGGAGATATATATTTTTAAAAACAATATGCTGATTTAAAAAAATCTCTCATCCCTTTCAAATTTACAAAAGTAAGTTTTACTTGCAATAAAGCTGTTGAACGCATGAATGTTCCTCAAGTCACACTCATGTCAGACTTCAGGTAAACGTTTCTTGAATCTTCCGTGGCTTCAATTCAACATTGGCTGTGTTCTCAATATATTCTCAAGATTGTCTTAATAAATTGCGTCCACATGAGAGTTTGTACGATTGTAAGGAGATCATTCCTGGATTTGTTTCACTTTCTTGTGTAACCAAACACCTGAGACGACACAGTCCCTCCCATCATTCCAGCTGATAAACATCTCTCACAAAGACTAACACTTTAAACTGATTTGAAATATGGCAGACACGTTACACGGAAGTAAAAGAAAATGTGAACACAAATGTAGGTGATGACAGAATATACACATCCACAAATATAGAGAGAACTTTGACTACTAATGACAACACACCAGGAAATACATTTCAAAAGTAGCTATATATATTTCACATACAAAATTTATTATTGAAATTAAAAAAAAATAATAATAAAAAAATAAAAAAAATCTTTGTATAATATAAAGCTAATATAACTACATTTCATGAAAATTTAACAAAGAAAATAGATTTTAAAAAGTAAAATAAGTTTAGATCTTCTTTAGAAAAACAATTGAGACAACATATCACAAAGTTGTAAACCAGGGGTCTCCAAACTCAGTCCTGGAGGGCCACTGTCCTGCAGAGTTTAGCTCCACCCCTAATTAAAGATACCTGAACCAGCTAATTAAGGGCTGTGTTCAGGATGGCACATTTATTTGATGTTTTGTAAAATATTTCACTGTTATTACCCAGGGAAAAAGACACTGTCACACTATATGGCATAAGCTGTCATATGGGCAGCTGCTGTTTACTGATACAGACTGAAAAATACTTTCATTTTAAATATGAAATACTATCTAAAGCACAGGCGCTATAAACAAATCTTGGTTATTGCAGTTACGCATTTGTTTTATGGTAAACCCATGCATTCACATACTTTTTGCAGCTGTAAATGACCCTTGATTGAATGTACTTCAGTGTGGTTTTATTGTATTCATGTGTTTTCTCAACAGCTGTAACAAAAATATGATGATACTGAATTTTTTGTTTGGAAGAGACCATTCAGAAAATTATTCTAATTTAAGAAGCTTTTGAACTCTTTTAGTCTGAAACCAATATATTCAGAATGTAACTGTTATTTATAAACACACATGTAATCAATTTATATTGTATATTTACATCTAAAGTTTGAGAAAACAGACTTACTTCCGTTTTTATTGCGAGAGCTAACAGTATTCCAGCAATCACACTGAGCACAATTAACAGCTACTGAAATCAGGGCGACTGATGTCCTCCAAGAACTAAACCAAGTCTCTACAAAAAGTAGAGACTAAGCACATATTAAATTATTTTTATATAAAGGTGCTGAATGAAAGATGTTACAGTACTGCATTTACATCAGGCATTACAGCTTCAGAGATCTGTGAACTCTGTCAGAAAGGATGGTGATCACTGATTAGCTTCAGAAGACTTGGACTACAGAACTTGAGTTGTATGGACTGTTACGACACTTATTTAATCCTGGTAATGATGGTGGACACTCAGAGGCAAAGGAGAGTAGGATCTAAATGCAGTATTTATTACACAAACAATAATCCGAGGACAAGGAGCAAAATACAAGAAACACAAGTGCAGAACTGAGGACAGCAACAACACATCCAACAATGGACAAGATCCGACAAAGAACACGAGAAACAGGAACACTGGAGTTTAAATACACAAGCCCTGCATCTCAATGTTCATACTATCCATCATAGTATGTGAGATTAGAATAAGTGTGTCCCAAAGCATAGTATGTTCTACTATTTCAGCACACTCTAAAAAATGCTGATCCATGCACACACTCTAAAAAATGCAACCGCTGGTTGGGTTAACAGCATTTTTTAGAGTGCACTAACTACAAACATGGCGGATGTGTGGGACCGACGGTTAAGTAGAGAGATTTAGATAAAGAAGTTTGAGTTCTAATAATCAACATTTAACCTGCTAAAAATATTTATTTAATGTTATCTGTTATATTTCACCTGCAACAACAATGTGAACTTTTATAAACATGCATTTGGATGTCAACTTTTAAATGCATCATTATGCAAAAAATATGAGCAGATTTCTCCACATAAAGACCTACGGCTGGCAGATCAACGTGCTACTTATTTTCTCTCCAGCACAGTAGGAAGTTAAATGAAATGAAATGTGGAGGATGTTAACTGTGACAAGATGATTTACAGGCCAGTTTACAGTGACAGGGTGTGTGTAAATATGCAACAGAGCGGTCTGTTAAAGACGCAATTGTATGACGTGATAGTTTGTCCCAAAGCTTGCCTACTCTTCTACTACCAGAGGCGGACAAAGTACTCAACTCCATTACTTGAGTGAAAGTACAGATACTGCTGGTCAAACATTACTCCATTACAAGTAAAAGTCGTAAAGACATATCTTTACTTAAGTAAAAGTACAGAAGTACTTGCTTTTAAAAGTACTTAAGTACCAAAAGTAAATTTCCTTTTTTATGTCAATGCACCGTTTTATTGTTGTACGTAGTAGTACTTACAATACTTCTGAAGCAACTTAGAATACATTACACCT